CAGGTGTAGGTGCCCCGCTGCGTTTAGTTGGGGGAAAGGAGAGCTTTGAAGGGCGAGTGGAGGTTTACCATGATGGCAAGTGGGGTACCATCTGTGACGACCAGTGGGACGACCGGGATGCTGAAGTAGTTTGTAGGCAGCTGGGACTCAGGTAATCTCCCTGCTGTACGTCACGGAGTGGTAATAGAGGTAGGCAGAATGAAGAACGTGAGAGCACGTCCTTTCACTGTAGTACCAGCCCTCTCGATGGGAAGTGTACAGAAACCATGGGAAAGATAATTCTGGCCTGATCATCCTATAAAGGGATTTTGTACTTAATTCCTGTCAGCTTTATGGGTTTATGCTGTGGAGAAAAAAAAAAAAAGTTGGTGCATCCCTATCCAAAGTCTGTTTGTGTTTATCCCTGTTCATTATTTTTGCACGCATGTCCTAATGCAAATCTTCTTGGCCTCAGTGATAACTTGTCATGGTGATTTCCATACGTGAACTGCAGTTGTTTACTTGTTTAAGTTTAAACACATCCAGTTTCACTGACTGCCCTTACCCTCTTCAGACAGGAAAGCAAGAGAGAGCACCTCATTCTCCTCTGTGCCATTCAGCACTTAACATGGGAGCTGTTTTATACTGAGCATTCTTGAAAATCAAATCAGTACAGAATTGTTTAAAATAGATTATTTCATTTTGAGATCCCTCAAACTTTGGGAGTTTTGCCCGTCGCTGAGGTTGAAACGCCGTTGTCCTCAGAACTACTCCCCAGGTGTCTGCACTGTTCATGTTGCAGGCACGTTTTTGTTACGTGTTAGAAGGTCTCATTACAAAACTTTCCAGTAAGGTACTTGGGTTAACAGTTGGCAACACCACTGTGTCGGAAATACAGATTATCTATGGGAGGACTCTGGCCTAGTGTAGGAGAGTCCCTGTGCAAGGCAGACTCCGAGCACACAGGACCGTGACCTTCCTTACTGTGAGCATATGTGTCTGTACCGTTTGCAGTGGGAACCCAAAAGCCTTGTCATGGGCTCACTATGGGCAGGGATCTGGCCCAATCCTGCTGGATGAAGTGGAGTGCTCAGGCAACGAACTCTCACTTGACCAGTGCAAGAAGAGTGACTGGGGACAGCAGAACTGTGACCACATTGAAGACGCTGGGGTCTCCTGTGACCCTTTCACAGGTACAGATCTACAGCTCTACACTGGTCAGATGTGGTCTGTCTTACTCCCGTATTACACCGCTTGCTCAGCAGATAGGCTCCCCGCTTCAGGATCCTGCAGGGCTCCTACGTACGGCCCCCACAAGGACTGCCAGATGTGGAGGCAGAGGGCAAGCAGCAGGTGGGAATGGATCAGGGCCAGGCTGGGTGGTGTTCCCATTGCTTTCCACGGGTGACATGGAAAGGCTGAGGTGAATCCTCCCCTGACAGATGGGCATGTTTGGGAGCAATGAATGTTTGTTTTCTGAGTGCCCGCGGATATCTGTGTCTTCGGTTTCTTTCACTCATGGGCTGCACTTCAGCAGTGGGGCACAGGCTTTTTCTTTTCACCCTTGCTGAGTACTGATCTTTCCTTCTCCCACCCCTTGCAGAGGGCACTGTCAGGCTGGCTGGCGGCCGCAGCCCCAGCGAAGGCAGGGTAGAAGTTTATTACAACGGAGACTGGGGCACAGTATGCGATGACGGCTGGACAGACCTCGGTGCCCAGGTGGTCTGCAGGCAGCTGGGCTTCAGGTAGGACTGAGAGCGTGTGTAGCATCTGTGCTTCCTAATTTCAGGGATTAGATCCCATCCCCCTTCACTGGGATAGGCTGGACCTTACTTCCTCCAATGCTGTCTGCGTTGGAAGGGTTATTACCATTATAAAACTTTATTCAGGAAAGATTAATAGGTATCCACACCCTTTCACAGGAAAGAAAAAAATCTTTATTATCTCTTGCCTTGGCCTGTTTTGAAAGCAGAGAACAGGCTAGATGCTGTCTTTATGAACCCCTCACCAAAGTCAGAAAGTTCTCTCAATACACCTTAAATTTCCAGGTGTATCAGCTCAGCACTGCCACCCCCTCTGCTCTGTCAGCCAAACACATCACCTGCTTCAGCAGTTGAACGAAGACCATCAGGGCAAAAAAGAGCAACATTAGGGATTTTTTGTAATGCTTTTCTTTCAGCCATTGCTGAACTGTTGTCCCGCCAGGTATGAGTTTGAGGAAGATTTAAAATCAGGATACTGTAGTCTTGGAGCCAGTGAAGGGTTTTTTTTATGGATTTTTTAATATGATTAGGGTATCCTTGTAAAATTTCAGCTTTATAGACTGAAGAAAGACTAAACTGAATTCTTCCCTTTGAGTTCAGCTGCATACTGTGTTTGTCATCTCTTGTAGTGCCTAAGAGTTTGCAGCTTTCTGTATTTCAATTCCAGGTAGCTACTTCCTATAAAAAGAAGCAGAATTACTTAAACGTTGATATTTTTGATGCCTCCTCTGCTAGCCGCTCCCCACATTGATGTACCTGGTGTCATGCCTGTAAAGCAGCCTCTGTGGTATAGCTGGCCCTCTGTGCTGCTATGACTGTGCCTTTGACCAGACGCTAGAAAATGGACTGGTCTGAGCGGGCCTCCCTGAAAACTGAAGCTGGTGAGATGTGCGAGCTGCTTGGCTGCCATCCTGTGTGTCACTGAGTGGTTTAGGTCAGGAGGCCACCGATATCACAGTTGAGCTCTGCAGGGGAGTTTCCCTTTGGGTCTGAGCTTGGGTCCCCTCTGTGGGATTAATGAGTTTTGATGAATCTGGTGTTCTTTTTCCTTCCTCTTAGTGGTCCTGCTACCCTGGCCTCTGAAGGGGACTACGCTGCTGGCCAAGGCTTTATCTTGCTGGATGATGTGGCTTGTCTGGGGACAGAGCTGTCCCTCCTGGACTGTCCCCACAGCAACTGGGGGCAGCATGACTGCTCACACGCCGAGGATGTGGGAGTCCGCTGTTCCCCCGGCAGCAACACAGTCATGGACGGCAGCCTGGGTAACTCGCTTTGCCTCTTGCCCTGGACGGTGGGGAAGTGTCGCCTGCTGGTCTGTTCCTTTGGAAGCTCCGGCAGATGTGGGAGTTTTCCCTGTGCTGTCTCAGTGAGGGGGCTGCTTTTTGAGGAAGACTCCTAGGAACGAGCCCTGGCTGTCCTGAGGCACAGCCACAGAGCTGTGGCTGCACCAGACCTACGGCCAGACCTGCAGAGAAAGTGAAACTGGAAAGAATTGTGTGGGCAGTCCCTGAAACAAACCTGAGGGGCTGAGGAACGGTGGCTGCCTTAGTGTGCCGTTGCTCACTGATGAGACGCCTCAGCCCCATGTCTGTGGCAACGTGGGACCCCTTTAATTAGACCCTTTAGGAAACTGGTGTCGTTACATTAGTGTCACACCTTGCCAAGACAAGAGGACTTCAGATGTGAGGGGGTGTTGTGTGGAAATTCGTACTCTCTTGTGTGGATGGCACACTTTTAATTAAAATTGTGAATGTATTTCAAGTTAGCATAATTTCCTTATTTATAGGAGGCC